CCGGGTGCTCCTCAGAGGGAGCCCCATGTAGAGAGCATTACAGTAGTCCAGGCGAGAGGTGACGAGAGCATGAGTGACTGTGCGCAAGGCGTCCCGGTCCAGAAAAGGTCGCAACTGGTGAATCAGGCGGACCTGATAAAACGCCCCCCTGGTCACGGCCGACAAATGGTCTTCCAATGTCAGCCGTGGATCCAGGAGGTAGTTCATGCCACAATTTCCAGACAATATATTGAGAACGATAGGAATTATATTCCCCTAGGTCTCACCTTTTACACAGAAGCTCAAGACAGTCTATCTAATGCTCCTCCTTATATTTTTTTCCCTCCATACCAATCCTATGGGGTAGGTTGGGTTGAGAGAGAGAACTTGGATGTCCCCACTTGGACTTAAGAGTAGGAACATCCAGGTTCTGGTGCATCCTCACCTATGGAAGTACACTGAGTAACTTTGAGTACACTTTCATCAAAACATTGCATGATTCTCTAAAATGCATAGAACCCAAAGCTGGTAATATTATTTAGCAACTGAGACAAGAAGACACTGTTTAGTGCAGCGCTTAAAGTGCTGGATTAGAAATCAGGAATGGTGTGTCCAAGTCCTGTCTTAGGCATGAAGTCAACTGGGTGACTTTGGAACCATCGCTCCGGCTCAATGCAACTTGCTTGTGATTATGGAGAAAACAGAAGGGAGATTTCTATCCTTCACTGGGATACAGTTTTGGGAAAGACTGATAGACTAGCAGAGTAGACATTCCCCCCCCCTTGCATAACTTCTCTAACTGATCTGAAGATAAACTAGGGTTTGAAGTTAAAAAACAACCTATGGGATTAAAGTCCTACACAACAATCCTAGCTTCTTTTTCTTAGTATGATAATATGAAAGTTATCAGCTCTGAGAAGTAAATATCTGGGTTTTTCTATTTATTTAATACAGGGGTCCTCAAACTTGGCCACTTTAAGACTCATGGACTTCAACATAGCTGGCTGAGGAATTCTGGGAGTTGAAGTCCACAAGTCTTAAAGTGGCCAAGTTTGAGGACCCCTGATTTATACAAATATAAGTTTAAATAAAGCAATATCTGGGTGAACCTTAAATATTAACAAAGATTAAGGATTTCTGGGTATTTTCTTATTATCATCAAGCAGTGATCACAAGTAGGAATATTTAAAATTATTGTAAGAGTCATTTCCCCAAGAGATTATGATTCTGGACATCACCCTATCAACAGGGGATATTCTCCATTAACAATTTTTTCCAGTTCATAGGAAAGCTGTGAGAAACAAAATAATTTTTTTCCTTATCTACTGTATGTTCTTCTCCTATGTTTATTGGGAGATATTGGCTCCAAACTGAATATAATTTAGTTACTGGAATTTTTGTAACCCCGTCCATTTGGCAGATTTGACTCAAGAGAACTTGGTGAGAATTTTGTAGAGAAAAGAACCACTCTGAGTTTTCGACAGTTGCCAAAGAAGATTACCACTACATGAGTGTCCCACTAAACAGAGGTGGCCATGGGGTGAGGCCAAAAAATTCAGATGGTGGCCCTGATGATGCACATAAAAATGGGAGGAGTTTTAATTGGACCATTGTGGCCACCATGGACTTTTTTGACCAATGGTGGAAAAAAGTAAGGTTCTTCAATGGTGAAAAAAGTAAGATTCTACATTTAGGCAAAAACCCCCAAATGTACAGGTATAGTATAGGGGGTACCTTGCTCAATAGTAGTAACTGTGAGAGGGACCTCGGAGTCCTAGTGGACAATCACTTAAATATGAGCCAGCAGTGTGCTGCAGCTGCCAAAAAGGCCAACACAATGCTGGGCTGCATTAACAGAGGGACAGAATCAAGATCACGTGAAGTATTAATACCACTTTACAATGCCTTGGTAAGGCCACACTTGGAATACTGCATCCAGTTTTGGTCACCACGATGTAAAAAAGATGTTGAGACTCTAGAAAGAGTACAGAGAAGAGCAACAAAGATGATTAGGGGACTGGAAGCTAAAGCATATAAGGAAAGGCTGCTGGAATTGGGTATTTCTAGTTTAATGAAGAGAAGGACGAGGGGGGACATGATAGCAGTGTTCCAATATCTCAGGGGCTGCCACAAAGAAGAGGGAGTCAAGCTATTTTCCAAGGCGCCTAAAGGCAGGACAAGAAACAACGGATGGAAACTAATCAAGGAGAGAAGCAACCTAGAACTAAGGAGAAATTTCCTGATAGAACAATTAACCAGTGGAACAACCTGCCTCCAGAAGTGGTGAATGCTCCAACACTGGAAGTTTTTAAGAAGAGACTGGACAGCCATTTGTCTGAAATGGTATAGGGTTTCCTGCCTGAGCAGGGGGTTGGACTAGATGACCTCCAAGATCCCTTCCAACTTTATTATTATTATTATACACCTTACTGACACCCCCCCACACACACATACGCTAAAGGGTCTTGAGTTCCACAGGAACCAAATCTGCTCAGCTGCTTAGAGAAAATGCAACCCATGCACTTTACAAGGAAAGAGAAATTGTAACCCTAAGGATGAGTCTCCTCAGCATTCCGGCAAGTGGATAGAATAGACCATCAGCTAGTGAGGAGCAGGCCACAAAAAACTCTCTCATGAAAGGTACAGACAAATGTGTTTTTGTTCCTCCAAGGCCATTTATAGGGCGCACACTTAGTGTGCCCTAATCCTGTGTGTTGCTTACTCCACGGTCCCTGGATGAGGGCCTTGTGCCCTTTCATCTAGCACTGACTCAGATCCACTGTTTTGGTCCTGAAGTCACTGAAAAAATAGTCGCAGTCAGGGTTCCCCCTTGGAGGGAGAATGCCTGATGTGGCCTTCTCCAGTTTCAGAGCTGGAATGCCTGAAGCGATTCTCTCATATTTCATGAGTGAGAGCAAGGTGGAGCGCTGAGGGTTAAGAGAAAAAAATTGGCACAGGTTGAGGCGTGACAAGACGCTTCCACTGGCTAGCTGGATAAATATAGTACAGTCCGATATCATCTGGTGTAGATTTGACTTCTAAGAAAGCAAGGGACATAATAAGGCATCTTTCATTCACATCAAGGGTGGAAAAGAGCAGAAGTCCCAGTTTTGAAATAAGGGCCATCTAGTAGAGAATGGAAGTCATAATTCCACCTCTTGAACATCTTCAGGGTCAATGTTAGTCGATCTTTCCAAGCTTTCAGTGCTAATGATATTCCTGCCTCATAGAGAATAGGCTCCTTTTAATTAAGTGGGCCTCATTAATAAATGGAAGCATAATTATATATTCTTGACCTAGAATTTATTTAGTGTGACCTGGAAATAAGTCCTGTTAAAATCAGTGGGATTTTTTCAGAGTAGGTACATAGATGATTCTGTTGTTATGGTATTTGTGGTATTCTTGCTTTTTTCACCAGGGGACGGGCGGGGAGAGGGCTCAATCTATTCTCCAAAGCACCTGAGGGCAGGACCAGAGTAACGGATGGAAACTTATTAAAGGGAGATCCAACCTAGAACTAAGGAGAAGTTTTCTGACAGTGAGAACAATTAACCTGAAGTTGTGGATGCTCCATCACTGGAGGTTTTTAAGAAGAGATTGGATGACCATTTTTCTGGAATGATATAGGGTCTCCTACTTGGGCAGGAGGTTTATTTATTTATTTATCAATTTTATTGGCCACCCATTTTACCCTATGGCAGGGGTAGGCAACCTTGGCTCTTTTATGACTCGTGGACTTCAACTCCCAGAATTCCTGAGCCAGCCATGCTGAGGGGAAAGGGAGAGGTTTCCAAGCTGAGCCATGCTGGCTCAGGAATTCTGGGAGTTGAAGTCCACGAGTCATAAAAGAGCCAAGGTTGCCTACCCCTGCCATAGGGTAACTCTGGATTGGACTAGAAGAGCTCCAGGTTCCCTCCCAACTCCCTTCCGACCCTGTTATTCTGTATTTTGTATTCAGATGAAGTTGAATGGAATACTTAACAACTCATAATGCTTATCTGTTGTAGTCAAGAACGTTAAGACAGAGAAAAGAAGAGTGGCATTGTTTCCTACATTTAATGGCAAACATGAGTAGCAGTCTTCTTCCAGATTTCAATATACTAATAAATAATTTAGCCTCATGTTATGGAAGATGCTCATGTCCAGGGATATCTGCAAGTACTGTCAAAGCAATCAAGGAGACCACTGCAACTGTGTGACTGAAGGCCTCTCCCTTTTTATATGGTTGGAGCAGAATCACACAACCTTTCCAATACAGCCTCCCTGAACAATATCATCTCTTTGCTTTATGTGTGTGGGACATATTGACGAGAATACCGCAGTGTGTGTGAAGCAGGAACTGCAATAATACATTTTTTAAAAAATGCTTGCTTGTTTTTAGTCACAGAAACACTTCTGTAAGAGTGAAGTAATTTAGTAAGCAGTGGACTGGGATAAATATACTTACCCGGCTCAGCCATGGAGCGAGGTTCTAATAAAAAAGAAAGAAAAACATTACTTAATTCCGTATTTATTTTAACACATATGTTCTTTCAAAGTTTTGCATGAAAAACAATATATATTTGGGGTAATTCGTATCACTTAAACTTCTTTAAATCCAGATAGATGGATCTTTAAACTACTGGAGTAATACAGTTAGTTTTGGTCCAGCTCTTAATCTCTGACTCATCTGGAGGAGGAGGGGGGAAGGGCAGGAGTCAAAAAGTCAGATCCAATCACAGTGGAAAAACTGGATCAGGTCCTATTGCTCCTGACTCTGCCCAGAGACCTCCTGCACAATCTAGACTCCAAGCCATCTACCCCATAAGAATGCTGTGGTCTTCAAAGAAGTCAGAGGAAAGAGCACAGACTTTGGTCAGAGAGTATCCGGCATGGATTAGTCCTACTCAGGGTTGAGTCCCCTGGTCTAGGAATCATGGCTGACTGATGCCAGTTGTGCACAAACACAGCCTGGGAATCTTCTGCATTTAAGGACCTTCCCCATTCCTGAGCTGAAGTGCTTTTTGCTGTTCCTTGAGAAAGGAGACAGTGATAGTTGCAGTGAATTTTCTGCCCCGTTGCACATTTTTATCCCGTCTTTATTGTCATCAGTGGCTTGCTGTTATTGCCTGACTTCCCTTAAATTGACGGCCAACATAGCCCAGATTTTATACCTCTTGAAGTCACCTTTGTATTGGATTGAGATACCAGTAAAGTTGAAGAGAACTTCAGCCTGTCTTCCTCATAGGTTGGGATAAAATGAAGGCAATATCAGAGGGATACAGCAGAAAAAAAGATATTGTCAAAGAATGAAAATTTGGAGTGACCAAAGGATGTGGTGAAAAGTTTAAGGTGGTAACCATAACAGTGTTATCTAAGCTCAATCTGTTTTTTATCTGTAATGAACATAAAACATCGGAAGAACTTTGATTCTACCATCAAGGCTGCCATCTTGTTTTTGTTTTTTTTTAACCCTTCCCTGTAGTTGCTACTAATATATTGTGGTTAGGAGCAAATGTGTCATCCTTAAACTTAAAAAAAAGCCTCCTTAGAAAATTCACCTCCTGCATGGTTTAAACTGTGCTCTTTAAATTTTGGTCATTAGTAATAACATTGGTTTGTATAAATTTGTAGTGGTTTAGGATTATGCCTTGTTGTATACTGTAAGGTAGTGCGATATCCTGCACAACAAGGCATTATATACTAAAATGCACTGTTGTTAATTGCTGATCATTAACTATGAACTCCTGTTTCACTATCTTTACATGATATGCCAGAATATACATATGGTAGTTATATCCACAATATTTTAATTTCATTTCTTTTCTCTATTGGTAAAACCCAAACCTGAACTTGCTTCAGGGTTTAGGGGCAGAGTTTAAATATTTTACCCTAGGTGGGCAAAAGGATAACAATCCAGAAAATTACCAGTACACCAAAACATTATTTGCTGTTCTGTACAAAATCTTGTCCATGAAAGTCTATGCTGGAGTGATTGTAGCTTTAGAGAAGTGAATTAAGTTTCAAAACTAAACTCTGTCAGTTGTATCGGTTTTTGCATACAAGGCAAGCAGTTCAGTTGTTCATATGGTGCAACCAGATATGAGGCTGCTTCAAATCATTCTTCTTTCTGCTTTATCACTTTGATCTGTAACATGGAGACAATATTGACACGAGTACGTCTGACATGCTTGCGAACAATAGCAGTCCCAATTACTACAACTATTTCTGTGGTGCACGAGAGATAACAGTAATTTTAAAATGCTGTTTTCACAGGATTTTTTTTTTTTTTTTACAAAGGTTTGCTTTTCAGAAAGCAGCAAAAAAACAACAACACAACTCTTTAGTGCTACAGCAGTCCATAAAAACTAAAAAGCATACTTTTCTGTAATATTCTAAAGTCTGGAGAATCTTCTATCAATGTCCCTTCTCTGTACCACTCCACTTTTGGAGAAGGAGCTCCTTTCACCCGACATTCAAACACGACCAGCTGACCCTCAGAGGCCGATATATTTTGCAGCATCTAAAACAAAAACAGACATTGTATTATTTTTAAGATTATTACATAGGTGCGAATAAAGCGAAGTCAGCTTTGAGCGAACTTGCTTCTGGTCCCTGAATGGATACATCTGTGTAGTTTTCTTTGTCATGATTTGCCATTGGTTTTGGCAGGAATGGTTGCTCAGTTTCCTGCTCTGATTTACAGCACAAGATTTCAAACATGGTCCCACCCAAGTACTGACCAGAGGAATCCCTGCTTATCTTTTTACGTAGGTTAACCAAGGTTGGCAGTGTGCTACTTACCTGTTAAAGCTGTCAATGGAAAGTTCTCTCTAAGATAATAGAATAGCAGTGTTAAGCTACAATATATGCTAGAAGCAACCTGGAATTAAGGAGAAACTTCCTGACAGTGAGGACAATTAACCAGTGGAACAGCTTACCCCCAGAAATCGTGGGCGCTCCATCACTGGAGATTTTTAAGAAGAGACTAGACATTCACCTGTCTGAGATGGTGTAGGTTCTCCTGCTTGAGCAGGGGGCTGGACTAGAAGACCTCCAAGGTCCCTTCCAGCTCTACTCTACTCTACTCTACTCTACTCTACTCTACTCTACTCTACTCTACTCTACTCTACTCTACTCTACTCTACTCTACTCTATTCTATTCTATTCTATTCTATTCTATTCTATTCTATTCTTCTATTATTTTTGCCTAATCTGGTGCTCTTCCAAATGAATTGGAATCTACTATCAATTTTATCTTAGCTGATGTCTCTATTAAAAGATTGGAGATTGTCATCTGGAGAACTTTCTTAATTTGTACAGCAGAAAAATCTAATATTTTCAGATAGGTGTTCTTAAAAATGTACTGATGTAAAGAAGCAATTTTAGGACACTCGTGCTGATGATACAATCCCTGAGCTTCTGAAAGGTATTTTAGGACTGGGCAATGATTGCCTGAGGATTTGATCATCACATCTACGGTACTTGTTAACCATTATGAGAAGAGCTCATTCAAGCAAATCACCTTGGTGAACACAGGAGCAGCTATTAGGGGTCTTCCGTCCAGTCCTTGTAAATAATTCGTAGGGCTCTGATTCTAATAGTGAAACAAAGAAACAAATGTTAAGTGTATTATATAGGAACAACATTTTTGCTTCTAGAAAAGCTGGTGAAAGAGAGAACTGTATGATTTTTTTTCTTCAAAACTGTATAGACTTTGCAGGAGAATATCTGTAAGCAGGAGATTGAAATCTAGCTGATTTGGAACCTAACGTGGCAATTTTCACAGCAATTTTCATTGTTGGATTAGAAGGGAACTTATTTGTTTGTTTGCTTATTTATTTATTACCTGCTTTTATTATTTTTACGAATAACTCAAGGCAGTGAACAGATCCAACACACCTTCCTCTTCCTATTTCCCCCACAACAACAACCCTATGAGGTAGGCTGGGCTAAGAGAGGCCCAAAGTCACCTAGCTAGCTTTCATGGCTAAGGTGGGACTTGAACTCACAGCCTCCTGCTTTCTAGCCTGGTGCCTTAGCCACTGACTAGACCAGGGGTAGGCAACCTTGGCTCTTTTATGACTCGTGGACTTCAACTCCCAGAATTCCTGAGCCAGCTGGCTCAGGAATTCTGGGAGTTGAAGTCCACGAGTCATAAAAGAGCCAAGGTTGCCTACCCCTGGATTAGACCAAACTGTCTCTCCTTAGATAAACGTTTTTCAACATCTGGCTCAAATCCTTGGCCACACATTGCCCCACAATTTAACATGGGACCTGAAGTGTGAACTATTTATTATTCACAAAAATAATTGTTTTATATTGTTATTTCTATCTCATTTTTTCGTTATTAAAAACAATAACAATCTGGAACACCGCTTCCTAAAACAGTTTTAAAATACTGTTACTGCTATTATTATTATTTCTTAAAAGAAGTTTTAAAATGTAAACAATTTCAAAATTCCAGAATATGGACAGTGACCAGACAACTTGTCAAAGCAGCACCAATGCATGAAAAGACTACTTGTCATCCCTGCACGCTGCTCAATGTTTGTGACTCAGGTTATTTAAAATATACTAAAATAAGCGAGGACATCCACAGAATAAAGAAACATTAAAACACAAAGCAATAACAGAATTCATAGTAGCTTTTAATTAAAAAAAAAGTTCATTCTCCAAGATTCTCCTCTGGATGTCAGAAGGATGTCATAAAATGTGCTGGACCATATGGCAAAGACACAGTTGGAGAAGAGATGCAGTAGAATGCTACTTCATAACTGGAGCAGTTAAGGGTGACGTAAAGCTGTGTCAGCTGTGTGTTCCTAGTCTTTAGTAAGATAAAAATGCAGAGGGTCTGGAATTGCTTCTCTAACCCTTCTGAATAAAGTAGAATTGTATATCTAATAACCAGCTTTCCTTTCATAATAAATTGTATTCTTATCCCCCCTTAAATAATTTTTTTTGATCCAGGTACCTTATTTTGATTTACGGTCTCCCATTTTCCATACCAGGATGAAAATAAAATTGTGTTACTGCTTCGACTGAAAACCAAAGATTAAGGAAAAAAATGCAAATTAACCCTAGTCTATAGAACAGCTGCTTCTATAACACGGTGTCTTCTATGTATGTTAGCCTACAATTGGCTTCCTTAGTGGGATACTCTCCAAGTACCATCCCAGAATTTGTGGTCAAAACCATCAATGGAATGTGCTGGTTTGGAATTCTGAATCTTGTAATCCATTCTCAAATGACTGGATGTCATTCAGAAGGTAGCACCTTGGATGACGGCATCACAGCTACACAAAGCTAGCAGCATTTTTGTCCCCCTGATCAGGTATTTTTCTTACCTGGTACACAGGAACTGAGACAGCATATTTCGGGAAAGGTTGTGGTTGAATGGCTTCTTGATGGGTTACAGAAGGAGTAACGGGAAGAGGAGCAGGAGGAAGAGGAGCAGGAGCAGGAGCAGGAGGAGGTGCAGTGGGTGAGGTCTTAGTCTGGTTTTGGTACCTGGGAAAAAGTCGGAAAAAGCTAATTGACAAAAAAAAGAAAACAACATGAGTTTGTGAAGGCTGAAGCTTCCTTTATCCATTGCTTCTGAGTGATTTAAAAACTACCTTGATGGATTGGGAAGTTCTGTCATACAACTGGAAGTTTTTAAGAAGAGACTGGACAGCCATTTGTCTGAAATGGTATAGGGTTTCTTGCCTGAGCAGGGGGTTGGACTAGATGACCTCCAAGGTCCCTTCCAACTTTATTATTATTATTATTATTATTATTATTATTATTATTATTATTATTATTATTATTATTATTATTATTATTATTATTATTATTATTATGGATCATCGCACAATCAGCCAGATGTTCAGACTGGATTTGGCATTTTGTCTACCTATTGAATCCTTCCCAAGGACCTGGGATAGGCAGATGTGTATGTTTGATGGTATTACAGATATCGTNNNNTGTCTTTCTTATCGACAATTGTTAAGTCCGGGGTGTTATGTTGCAGGTGCTTGTCTGTTTGAATTCTGAAGTCCCAGAGCAGTTTAACTTTATCATTTTCTATGACTTTCTCTATTTTATGATCCCACCAGTTCTTGCTTACAGGCAAATGATATTTCTTGCAGATCTTCCAATGCACCATTGTTGCTACTTTGTCATGTCTGTGCGATCTTCTTGCAGCAGTTTACCAGGTGATCCACTGTTTCTTCAGCTTCTTTGCATAGGCGGCACTTACTGTCTGTTGCTGTCTTCTCAATTTTTTTTTTATTATTATTATTATTATTATTATTATTATTATTATTATTATTATTATTATTATTATTATTATTATTATTATTATTATTATTGACTTTAAAGCTTCTCAAAGCACCCTTGCCCCAAAGTGTGTCTCCTTCCTTTTGTCTTTGCCAAGCATTCTAAGGAAGTTCTGTGGTTTAATTCCTTGCTCTGTGGGGGAAACAGGAAAGGTGAACAATTTTTTCCTCTAGTTGAGAGGTGAAAGATGGGATATTCCATCTAATCCTGAGGAAGTTTTAAAAATAAGAATGCCCTTGAACTGGATTCAGCTCCAGGTGATGGCATCCAGGTCTCCTCAGAAGCATTATGGCAATGGTTTGCCGTTGCTTTTTCCTCAGATTTTTCCCCCCAATTTCCCAGTCCAGCCCTTCAGCCCTGGGATTTTGAGGAATTCCCCTCAATGTACTAATCTAAACAACAGACTGTCAATAACGTTAGAAGGACCAGATATTTTGAGCGTTGCTTCAAATGCTCAGAAATCAGTAGCAGATTTCTTCAAGTGCTAGGCACCCCAGTAGTCCACAAACTAATAAAATTCCTCCATATTTTCCATTATTGTTAATCTGCATGTGGTTCTTTGCAACGATCAAAATATATGTGAGTGTATAGATGGCTATGTTCAGGCACTGAGAATTAAAAAGGAGACCCATTAAAAGTAGGAGCTCATATTTGAGGATTGGGATGAGAATGAACCTTCACTGGCTACGTCATTCTTACAGTCTGGAAATAGGAATATCACATAGCAGTGACTGAACAGACAGCTGCAGAGATCAGATTTTCTCATTTGCCAGGGCATAACTTGTCACATTTTTGGCAAACATAATACTCATTTTCGTTATATGAAGAATATTGAAGTTTATCTAGTGACGGGTGGATCTTTAGCAGCAAGAAAGGGAAACTCTAGTTAATTGAGACCTAATCCCTTATAATCCTATCTTTTGAGAACAAAAGTTCTCAAAAGTAGTCTATTGATATTTCCTTTACTGGAAAACAAGAGAACTCAGTTTCTTCTCCTGACTTCAGTGAAGTTTGGGAAAGAGACATTTCTACTTTTGAAGGCTTGTATTTTATGGATTTTCTGGAATAAAAAAAAACCTATTTCAAATGTCGAACAGAAGGGCCAGGAAAACCTTCATAAACCTGAAAATAATAATGTAATGATTCCTTATATTTTCAAACTACTGCAATTGGAGAAGACATGTTTATAGTCTACACAAGACAAATATCAATTGAATATCAATTGAATATCAATAATAATAATAATAATAATAATAATAATAATAATAATAATAATAATAATAATAATAATAATAATAATATAAAGTTGGAAGGGTCCTTGGAGGTCATCAAGTCCAACCCCCAGCTCAGGCAGGTAACCCTATACCATTTCAGACAAATGGCTGTCCAGTTTCTTCTTAAAAATTTCCAGTGTTGGAGCATTCACCGCTACTGGAGGCAGGTTGTTCCACTGGCTAATTGTTCTAACTGTCAGGAAGTTTCTCCTTAGTTCTAGGTTGTTTCTCTCCTTGATTAGTTTCCATCCGTTGCTTCTTGTCCTGCCTTCAGGCGCTTTGGAAAATAGTTTGCAGTTTGTATAGATAACAAAATAACAGAGCTGGAAGGGACCTTGGAGGTCTTCTAGTCCAACCCCCTGCTCAAGCAAGAAACCCTATACCATTTCAGACAAATGGTTGTCCAATCTCTTCTTAAAAACCTCCAGTATTGGAGCAACTTCTGGAGGCAAGCCATTCCACTGATTAATTGTTCTAACTGTCAGGAAGTTTCTCCTTAGTTCTAGGTTGCTTCTCTCCTTGATTAGTTTCCATCCCTTGCTTCTTGTCCTGCCTTCAGGCGCTTTGGAGAATAGCTTGACTCCCTCTTCTTTGTGGCAGCCCCTGAGATATTGGAACACTGCTATTATGTCCCCCCTCGTCCTTCTCTTCGTTAGACTAGACATACCCAATTCCAGCAACCGTTCCTTATATGCTTTAGCCTCCAGTCCCCTAATCATCTTTGTTGCTCTTCTCTGCACTCTTTCTAGAGTCTCAACATCTTTTTCATATCGTGGCGATCAAAACTGGATGCAGTATTCCAAATGTGCTCTTACCAAGGCATTAAAAGATGGTATTAACACTTCATGTGATCTTGATTTTGTCTCTCTATTAATGCAGCCTAGGATTGCGGATGCATTTGGTTTTTTCTTGCCTAAATATAAAACCTTGCTTTTCTCTACAGTGAATTTCATTTTGTTAGATAGGTCCCAGTGTTAAGTCTGTCAAGATCCTTCTGTATCTTGAGCCTATTTTCTGGTGCATCTGCAAATATGATGAGTTCCCCTTCTATCCCCTTCTCTAAGTCATTGATGAAGATATAAGAGTATTGGGTCTAAGACAGAGCCTTGGGGTACAGATAATTTTCTGTTAGTCATCATCATCATCATCACTATCATCATCAGCAGCAGCAGCAGCATCTATTAAACTTGTATGTCATCTACCTCTGAACAACTCTATTGCCTTGGTTTTCCAAGTTATTTTCCAAAGGAAGATGAGGGAGATGGGAATTATTACTATGCAGGCTTTGGTTTTGTTGTTTCACAAGTGATGGCATCTAGCCAACCTTGTCTGGATTTGGAAGCTAAGTAGTAGGAAAGTTAAAAAGACATCTCAGAAGAAGACAATGGCTAACCCCTTTGTTATTGTTTTCTGCAGTACCTACATGAACACATTTATTAAGTCACCACAGAGATGTCCCAAAAACCTGCTGCATCATTTTCCAAATAAAATTGATCCACTAGTTGCTTTTTGGCTGATTAATAACACATACCGATTCATATAATTAGCATTTTGAAATGGATGGTATAGATTGGAAAAATGAGATGGGAGAGCAGTTTATTCCCACTCTTCTGATTCAATTCCCCATCACCCCAATTCCTTGCGTTTGTTTTTTTAAAAGAAAAATAACAAGTTGAGAAATCTGATCCAAGAATATAAGTGTCCACGAGTGTCTCAAATTCACACCATACTTACCGATCCATTTCTTCTTTGCTGTTGTCACTTTCAGATTCTGAAGACGAGGCCCCTGTGGGAAAGCAAAGATTACTTCTATGGGGCACCATATTTACTGATTTACTTATCTGAGTGCAATGTAGACTGCCTGTTTGATGCTTGTTGTTGATATCACAATGGCTTTGTGCAACTAATTTGATTTGTGGGGCTGAATCCTAACATGTTTGGAATCTTTCCTTAGTAATTATGTCCCTATAAGAAATGTGTCCCCTTTGGGAGACACTTTTCTTATAAGGACACATAAAGCCATGCTATAGTATTTTTGGATGGATGACAATTGGCACCTAACGTTCCCATGCCTTTTTGAGATCTTCTTCTTACACTCTTCATTCCACTGAAAAGTATAGCTACTTTTTTCAGTCACTGCTGGGAAAACCTACCAGTAAACATCGATTGGATTAGAACTGACCATCGGTTGTGTTGTGATAGAACATTTCACACTTCAGGGTAGTTGCTAAGTAAAAGCCACATAACATCATATCCATCATGTTCTCATCATACAAATGCATTGATTATGTTGCAATCACATAAATATAATTTTATGATTGTATCATAATGCATAAGACATCATGTCTTCCCTGATATTCAGAGTCCTAAGAGAAATATTTTAAAACATCTGGGAACAGATTCAGATACGAAGATTGTTGCTTAAAAGTTTAAAAAAAGATCGGGCAATATCCTCAAAACTGGAGGCCTTTCCATGATTAATTAGGTAAATCAAGTATATGCTATCCATATGCAAATATATCAATACCTATAGCTACAATATACCTATAGAATATTTATGTTTGCTTCTGGCATGGATGAAAAAGCACAGTGCTATAAAGAGATTGTAGTCTAGTGAGTTATCACACAAGTGATGGCAGCTAGTTTTAACTTCTTCCAAATTCTGCCCGAAATCACTGCAAAGAACTCTGCAAAGCTGGCTGACAGTATGTATAGATGCATATGCATATAATCCCCAGATACTGAAACATGTTACCTCATCCAAATTCTGCCCATTAATAAGTCGGAATTCTGGTTTTCTTTCCTTTTCCTTTTTTTTTTTTTTTTTTACAAAATTCATAACATTAGTCTTATTACAGCCCCTGACAGAAAGATCTTAAGGGTCAAAGGACCAGCTTCATATCTGTAGTACTGTTGTTGCTTCATTTGTATACTGAGATATGGCAACTGGAGGGAGAGTGGGAAGACATTTTGATTATTTTCAAGAGCAGGTGACTGATCTTTGTTTTATAGTCAGGGAGACAACTATCGTTATNTCATAACATTAGTCTTATTACAGCCCCTGACAGAAAGATCTTAAGGGTCAAAGGACCAGCTTCATATCTGTAGTACTGTTGTTGCTTCATTTGTATACTGAGATATGGCAACTGGAGGGAGAGTGGGAAGACATTTTGATTATTTTCAAGAGCAGGTGACTGATCTTTGTTTTATAGTCAGGGAGACAACTATCGTTATCCTTTAAAACAGTGGTTCTCAACCTGTGGGTCGGGACCCCATTTGGGGTCGATCGACCATTTCACGGGTTTCGCCAAGCAAGGCTGTCCGCCATTTCTTTGGTCCGCCATTTTTTTCCCTTTTCCAGCAGGTGCCTTACCTCCCTTGGGCTGGGCCAGCTGGTGGTCGGCCTGCTCCGTCTCTGCCAGCTACGCCTCGGCCAGCGCAGGGGGCGGAACCACGCATGCGCGGCGCTCCCGGGCAGGGAAAGTCCTCGACTTATGACCAGCTTAGTCCTCGACTTACGACCGGTTTAGTCCTCGACTTACGACCGGTTGGGGTCACGGCATTAAAAAGGTTGAGAACCACTGCTTTAAAATTAGTGGTCTCATGTACATTATAAATAAGAGTAAACATTACTTCTTAAATCTTGGAAAACCTGTTTCCATATCTCAGGACCTCATTTAAATTAAGAAAGCAGCAGAAATATATATAACACAAGTTCTGTATGCTGCTTTCCCTAGTTAAATTTCAAACATCTACTATTACCTTCTACATAGATCTCTGCAGAAGTTGAATCTGTCCCATAGATGTTGGACGCAAAGCAGGAATAACGCCCAGTGTCTTCTTCAAAAGCTTCAACAATAATTAGCGAATGCAGTTCTTCTGATTGGTTTATTTGAATATATGGTGAATTTTCAAGCTCTTTGCCTTCACAATACCACCTGCAAGACAAGGCAAACACTTGTCACTTTGACAGATGCAACGACAGCAATGACTTACGAATTATTCTAAGGAGACTTTCCACTTAAATGAAACTAAATCAAAAGAGTAAATAACCTGTTATATTTAGCTGTAGTTAAAAACTGAGCTGCATTCTGTACCAAGTATTTGGATCTTGTTGAACAATGCAAGGTGGAACCAGGGTCAGATAGTAGTTAGTTTGTTGGAGTAGAACTACAGATTCAAGTTTAAATATGCAAAATGGCATGAAATTCAGAGAATAATCATACTGTAGATCCATTACTATTTCTCAGTAACAGTTCTAGTATGAGCAGATGGTTCGGGAAACATTTATGTAGCCTTCCAAGAAAATTTTATCCTTAAACAAAGATACATATAGGGTACATTGACCCTATATACTTATAGAATATGTGTATCTATGATCACAGAACACATACACATATACACATCGATACATATTCTATGGCCATTTATACCTAGGCTATATTGACATGGAATAACCCAAAATAGCTCTGTATTTTGCATGTGTTCATTATGATTATCTACATGTAAAAATATACTAGAGAGAGTAATTCAGCTGTATTTCACACGCTGGAATAATATATAAGAACACTGAAGGATCTATACAGAATATAAGTATTTCAGCACTGTTTACTGAATTTTTTTGCTTATGCAAACAATGATAAAAATAATCTGACAGTTGAGATACCTTCTGCATAAATCTAGGTGGATAATTCATCCATGCAGTTTTTAAAAACTCTATCCACACTGTGGTTTAAAAATGAGGGAAAACATTTTTTCCAATTTGACACTGATTTTGATTCCTCTGCTGCACATCTAGATGGTACTAAAATTATTAATCTTTTGAGTTTAATTGTGCATTCCTCCATTAACTGTCCACTTCAAGATAAAACAGCCGATAAATGCTAAAAGCAGATGATATAACCTGCAAACGTTATTTCCAATTGTCTTAAACTGAGATTTATTTGCGTGTTTAAGAAGTTGAACAAATAGTGGCACACCTGTTCCATCACTGGCTCTATGGGAGTGGAGATATTTGACTTCTGTTTGTATTAAATCTAAATGGTCATACATGTGTGGGTCAAGAATGACTTGTTAACAGTCATTGTGGTGGGGCAGCTGCCCTTTTACCCTCAGGTGTGAAAACATAGAAAAACACATTTGCTTTTAGATTATTGTGATCTGTGAATCTCACCTTTATGGCATATTAACCATGTTTTTTAGTTTCATGATTTTTACGAACGACACAAAAAAGTTATGACCTAATGTAATTTAGGCATTTATTATATCCTTAACAGATTAAAAATACTGACTTCTAAATAAAACAAAGAAACAAAAATCCCTGATTTCTGGGAAATCTACCTAAACTTTATGAGAGGTTGGGATCTTTTGGTCTTAGGATTTTTTTTATTGTTTTGCCTGTGTTGCTCATATCTTGTTGATATACTATTGTTTATTGCTCTGAATAATTTAGAAATTTGTTTTTTTTCCAAAGAAGGGTTCATATCAGAAAATAAGCTCTTCTTCTTCTTGTGCCATATTCGTTATCGGACGTTGGCGATCATGTTGGCGATCCTGTTTTTATCAGCAGCCGCACAAAAAAGTGCTGCTGAGTTTTGTCCAAACCAAAATAAGCTCAGAGAAGTTAATAACTCTTGGACCATATGCAAACATTACAATGCCATGTAGATATTTTTAACTACAATTCCTATTGTTATCGGCCACTTTAGCTAATCAAGAAAAGTGCAGGCTGGAACATAAGGAAGGCTCTAAGTTCCATCTTTAAGGCTAAAACAATGGTGGACAATTTATCAACAGTTATTCAACTCCGGTGGGACTTTTATATTCAGAAGCAGTACCGTATGACAGAAAATATAAGTTGCTGAAAAGACAATAAAGGTACTTTTCACTCCCTGCACTGATTGTGGGCATGCTGCAAGTATCTGGCTAAATCCCTTCTGGAACCAAGATACTTTACAAGAGGAGTCCTTGACCAAGTAAGCCAATTTCTATATTCTTTTGTGCTCTGGGATGTGCATCAACTTCTATTGTAAGTGAACTGGGGGAATGCCAATGGCTCCGAGTAAAATTAAGGGGAAATTCACATGGCTCTCCCATCTTCAGGTTTGTATGTGGTTCACGCGGATAATGAAACAAGGAAAAAGTGTGTTCACTTGGATGCACTTATGCAAGGAAATATCAAGCATCTATTTTGATCACCATACCACAAAAAAGATGTTGAGAGTTTGGAAAAAAAATCAGAGAAGAGCAACTAAGATGATCAGGTTAAAATATACGAAGAATGGCTGTGGAACTTGGGTTTGGCTAGTCTAAAGAAAAGAAGAAATAGGGGAGACATGATAGCAGCGAGCCAGTATCTGAGGGGCTGCCACAAGGCAGAGGGGGTCAGGTTGTTCACCAGAGCACTAGAGGGAAGGACGAGAAACAATGGTTGGAAATTGATGAAAGAAAGAAGCAACCTGGAATTAAGGAGAAACTTCCTAACAGTGAGGACAATCAACCAGTGGAACAGCTTGCCTCCAGAAATCGTGGGTGCTCCATTACTGGAGATTTTTAAAAAGAGGTTAGACAGTCACCTGTCTGAGATGGTTTAGGTTCTCCTCTCGAGCAGGGGGCTGGACTAGAAGACCTCCAAGGTCCCTTCCAGCTCTATTCTATTCTATTCTATTCTATTCTATTCTATTCTATTCTATTCTATTCTATTCTATTCTATTCTATTCTGCATAACACACTGGAAGTTTCAATTATGTAACTGATAAAACAAATACCCATATATTGTCTGCTTTTAAAACATTAGTTGATTTCCCTCTTTACCACCTCTGTTCGCTTAAGGGTGTCTAAGATAATTTCAGAAAAAATAAATTTAATAAGTTAAAGACAATAGCAATTTTACCTCCCTTCCCATAATACAGATAGATAAAAACTGTAGGACAGCCATATGCATATTTAAGAATAAATCCATAAACTATAGATTTTAATGAGAAAAATGGGACCTCTTTATTAGAATAGATTTCAGTCTATATCCCTGCACAACAAAATCTATTTACCCAACTATTTAATATATTTAAAAATATATCTTGCAGATTGGCAGAGTAGCATAAAGTGTAGTGTTAGGATTAGGAGAGACCCAGAAAAATGGTATTTTAAGCTTTCTCATCTTCATCCATTTTTTCCTGTTTCCTATAAACAGTAGGCAGGGAAACAAAAGAAATGAGTTGCCCCTTCCTTCCTTCCTTCCTTCCTTCCTTCCTTCCTTCCTTCCTTCCTTCCTTCCTTCCTTCCTTCCTTCCTTCCTCTGGCATACTGATCCGAGGGCAGTGGTGGGATTCAGCCGATTCACACCACTTCGGCAGAACCGGTAGCTAATTTTTTGTTGCCCAGGCCCCGAATGGACTTCTGGAAGCGGCATCCAAACAGAGAACCTGTTGTTCACATATTTGAATCCCATCACCGTCCGAGGGGGTGAGTATTTGTTTAAATAGATTAATGGACATGGTCTTGGTCTCTTCCTTCTTTCTCTTCTTTCTCCCTCTTCATTTCTTCCTCCCTCATTAGCTGGCAACCATGTTTTTTGTTGGTTTTTTTTAAACCACACAGAAAAGATTGGAAAGGTCTTCAGGGGGAGTCAAAAAATCAAGATAGTGCCCCAAATCCATTGGAAATGGATGGCTTACAAATTCAAATAAAACAAACAAAACTCTATGATCAAAGCGCTGCAACTGTAACAACATAGAAAAATATAGAGTTTTGATGTCCACCTGTAAAAAGTTTTATTCTTTTGTTAATTCCTTTTCCCCATTTTTTTTGGGGGGGGGGGGACTTTCTCAGTGAGAGGATCCTGGATCTCTGTCCCATATTCTTATCTGCAGTAGGCAAGTTTTTTGCTCATTCATAATTAGCACCATTGACAAGAAGTGGGAAACTTGCTACGATCAGAATGCTGTACTTATTTTTGATGTATACACAAACATTTCTCACATGAAACAAAATCCCCATAGTCATATAAGTAATGAATCAGAGATGATAATGTGCCACTTTGACAGGGTGCATTAATCTGTGTATCCTCCCTTGAGTAAATGCAGCTAAAGTTTCTGTTAGTCTTTTATCTTACTGATGCAGTGTGCAGACTGGGAAAATAATTAAATCAATGTGATTAGGTACCTGGGGTAATTTGTGGTTAACAGAAAAATGTTTGTGGCATCTAACAACTCTGCTAATAATAGGTTCCATCAATAAATTTGATTTATACATAATCAAATGTTTGGTTCACATACTTTATTATAGCATTGCCCACAATCTGTTATCTTCCAGATGGAATGCTAATTTTACCAGAATTCTCAACCAATACTGCTATTTGTGAATCAAAACATCTGGAAAGTGCCATGTTGGGAAAGACTATGGCAACTATCCAACATGTTAAGAAGTTGTTCTCAAACATGGCATTGTATCACAAGTGTTAGAACTGGGATGATGTATATACAATGCAAAGATTTCAAACTCTTTCCCCACTGAGTATGCACCTTTCACAGCATGCCAGATCAATAAGAGGATGCAATGACTAAGAGTGCCAATATCTGAAGTATATAATATTTAATGTTTAGCTAGAAATCATTTTTTGGTTTCTAATTACATTACACATTGTAAGAATACAGTCTTGCCACAGAAAAGAAGCATAGTTTTTAGAAAATCATTTAATTTAGCCAAATACCTATATTGTCCATTTTTGAGACAGAAGTTCTATCATCCATTGTTTTACTCCACAGAACATATCTGTTGTCAAACACCACAGTCATTTTTTCCCTAGAATGTCACTCCATCAACTTGTTTGATGAGGCATCAAAAGAGGATTAATTTTTTTATTAAATTTGCAGGGTAAAATGGACATAATTAATAGGGTATATTAAATTTTAGCAACTGGGTGCATGTTGCAGATACACAGAAGGAAAATCTTTGAGGGTTTATAGTGTAATTGATTTTTTTGAGAATTTAATTTGTGAAAATTCAAATTCCGACAGGATCAGATTTTCCATCTCATAATTATTGAGTAGGTGAGAAATGACTGATATCTCTTGACACAGGATAATTTCAGTTGCAGAACTACAATAAATTGTAAATTAAGCAGCTTGGAAAAAATGGAACCATGTGTAACTAGAAGTGACAAGTACAGTCTGGCTCACTTCCAACCAATGGGGAAAATGTATGAGCTACTAAACTGATTTCAGTGTGACCAGTTATGGAGTAGTAATATTGCATTTGTGAAAGCCCTTCCATAAATATCTAGTAAAAATGCTTCAGGGGAATATTATTCATGCAACTGAGATGGAGAAACCTTATTATGATGTCAGTGTAATGTCACAGGATTTCTTTCCAAGAATTGCAGTGTTCCCAGTGCTTTACTAAAAACCATAAACCTGGCTTTTCCCTCTTAAAATAAAAGTAGAAGGAGCAATGGCATAAAAAATGGGAGAATTGTAAATAATAAACAACAATTTGTGATTGGGATACATCATTAAGCTGATCTGAGCCTTTTGCAGATTGGGCCCAAAGATGATAGCAAAGAGGTGATCAGCAGTGACATGGACAAGATGCATCTATTTGGGGTGGAGATTTCATGGGCATCCACTGTGTTTGGGTGTAGGGGTAGGAGTGTATATGTGTGTGTGTATCAAAAAAAGGACAGCAGCTACACAGTTAAAGCCCCATTCCCCTGTACATGTATTGCATCTGCAATGACCAACAAAGGGGGAGATGGTTAAGTACGGTAGTCACAATGGACATCTTGATTTCTTTAAACTGTCTTATGGATGCCCCTGGAAGGATGGGAGAACATTTTCAAACATTTTCCCTTTTACTGGAAGGTTTTTAAAATTGGAATGGAGAAAGGGAAGTTGTTGTAAGGCAAACTGTTTCCATTTCCAATGTAAACACGCCAAATGATTTCAAAGAGGGTTACATATGCCAAGAAAATTTGGATGCAAAATGGGTGAATTTGTGCTGTATAATTTCAGATTCAGGGGACCTAGAGGGCTTAATATTTGCCTTCTACTCTCCTTTCCACTGTTTTTGTTGAAAAAGAACACAACAAGGCTGAAAAAGAGCCATTTTGCCACTGAATTTTCACAGAATGATCTCAGAATGTTGGGGAAATATAAGTCACGTGAGTCTGGGATCTGCCCACCATCTCCTTAAAAACAAAGGTGCATGAAAGTGTTTTGCTGAAAGTTTGCAAAATGTGGAGACAGCACTAGTGGAGATGTAGTTCCTAAGTAACTCTTCCTTTCTAATAATCCCCAGAGGAGTAAATTTTGAAACAGAATTGCTTATGAGAAATGGTGGGGTCCTGGTAAAGAACTGACCAAATGTTGAGGGTACTTAACTACAGTCATCCACTCCATGAAGACTTATTTTCAGTACATAAATAAAATAGGAACATGTTTACCTGATTTCAGGTGTTGGTATTCCTACTACAACGCAGTCCAACTGCACTTTGGTTCCCTCAGAGACCTCCCTGCTTTTCAGTTTTTGAGTAAAATGGGGTGGTTGACCTATTGGCTCCTCAGAATAAAAAGGTGCAGCTGATGTCTCTGTGGTTAATTCTGGATTTTCTAATGTATGGACCGCTTCCACATCTGTCTGTTGAGGATAAGGTGGGTTTTCCAGCGAAGGCTGAATTTGATCTGATTCTTGAGATATTGGAACACAAGGCCTTTCCCTGTTTTCAGATACACTGGTGAAATCAGAACTAAAATCTTGGTTGGCCTTGTGCTTAGACTCAAGTTTGCTCCTGTAGTTTTTGCACGTCCTGGGCCGGATCCTTTTTGAGTTGTGTGCTTTGAAAAGAGAAGAAAGCTCCTCAATAAAATCGGCAGCCTTGTTGAGCAACTCTTTCTTTGATTCTGTCTCTGACCCGAATGGCTGTTTCTTTGGATGATTGCCTGATGTTGGTGAAGCTGTAGTTTGGCACTGCTGCTTGTTTGAAATAATATTTTCAGAGTTTTTCAACTCGGAGGGTAAAAACACGTGGATCTGCTGTTCTTCTTCTTGGCTGTTCTCAGGTGGCTCTTGATTGATAGCTTGCCTGGCCAAGTTCACACTCTCATCTAGCTCTTCTTGGCTCAAAAAGGCAGAAAGATCTGGAAGTTCATCCTGGCCAGTTGCCTCATCAGAAGCCCTGGAGGTACATCCAGAATGCAGAGAAGAGTCTGATTTACTCCTTTCACTATTACCTTGATGGCTGTTTTCAGCTAAATAGCTCTCTCTCAGAAGTTGAGTTATTGAAGTTGAAGATTCAGAAGTATTGTCTTGCATGCTGTTAACAAAGAGTACAAATAGGACCATAACCTCATAAAATACATATTTTTCTAATACTGAATTAAAGAAACGGACGGAGGTGTTTTTACTGTTGACTTCCCCAATCTAGAACTTTCCAGATGTGTACACACACACACCCCAGGGATAATTAAGTTATATCCAACAATCTGAAGATATCAGGCTGAGGAAAACTGTTCTACTGGAATTGCTCAACAGATATATATTTCCTCTTTTGCTCCAGATTTAATTATGATTTGATATTGCTAGTATCTCTATTATTCAGAAGTACTCTCTTTAAAGACTTAAAGTAAATTTTGCTGCACAAAGTGGTATTCTTAACCATTCTCTATTAGAATTTGTCCCATTTACTCATTCATTTACCTTATCCAGATTCATCCTTCATCCATCTAGTCCGGTATTGTCTGCTTGGAGTTGCTATACCTCAGAAAGAGGCATTTATTTGCCCTACATCTGAGATTCTTTTAATCTGAGAGCTGGGCTTGATTTACTATATGTATAATGATACTATTATGCCCTCCCAAATTAAGATTCTGCACTAACCATATGACCATTGCTAGCAGCAAGTGTTCATACTTGAATGCATATATGGCACACAAATATCTTTATATAAACAGATGCTCATAATAAAAAAAATGTAGCTGGAATTCAGTATTTTGCCACGCCTTGATAACAGCTTGATGGGAATGAGAAATTCTAGCAAAATTATCCAGGAATTGATTGATTGATCATCCCTGTTTTTATAAGAAGATCTGAAATCCCTGAACATTAGAATGTTCTTTATTTGCCCTACCATCTCTTCCAATGATTCCTATGTGAGTAGTTCATTTTTCAGTATATTTTTGGCTCTCACCGTATCTCAAAGTTGTATATATTTAATATAGAAGTTGATGTAGAAAATGTTAGGAAGGCCTGATTTTGAATAAATATGGTCCAGTGGATCTGCACGATTGGATGAAGGTATTTTGCTCTCTAGGGGAGCAACACACCATTTTAGCACCAAGTCTTATTTCCAGAACTGAGATGAGATAATATCTTATGCTACTTAATGGATCCTGGAGAGACTGTAAAGCACACACAGCTCAGTTCACTCCTACTCATCAACACAGGCTGTTCCTGGTGACCTCTTCATCGTATCTAATCTTAGGGTGAACAGTGAATGACTCTACACTTAGCATTGACATTTAAGGACACTGCTTAACTTAGTCACAGAAGTCAGTTAAATTAGTTACTGATGTGGGGCAAGCAAACAGATATACCTCTGTTTAAGACAGTGTTGGGATCAGGCGTGACTGGAATTTTTGCCATAATTTGCAACTGGAGATGTAACTATTATTTATAACTATTTGTCTTAAATAGTTAATTTTCTGCATTTTTAGAAAAGTTTATTTTTCACAAACATATTCTTTGGTGAAATTGATGTAGCATGGCCAAATACGTGCCCAAAGGTCCTAATGTACACAGAACAGAGACTACGATACTTTCAAGGGTATCTGTGGGGAGGGGGTGAAAAAAAAGGCAAAATAGTGGCCATACATGTTTGGAAACACATGTAAAAAAAGGACAGGGCTTTGGTCACACAATGGTAACCATATCTTGCCTTTTTTGACCCTTTTCCTGCTGCTACTCCTTGATGTTTCTCAAAAGACCACCATTAAGGTATCACTGCCAATTTTCAGCCGAAGTCTGGAAATTTTCCTAAAGCATTCTGCCATTTCTTCAAGCAAAATCATGTCCATCATTATCAGAACTTGTCCTTATTTACTAGACATCTTTGGCCTGAGGTGATGAGGCCAGTTATTTCTATGGAAAGCTAGAAACGGTTTGGCTACATGGGATACAAGAAGACAAGGAGATTCCCTCAGGTGAAGCTTGAAATGAAGGCATGGACGCCATCATGCATGGTGATGGCCTCTTTTTCAGGGGCACGTTTTTCAATTTCTCAGTCTATGTTCCAATCCTGCAACTCCCTGTAACTTGTCTCTGCTTTCTTAGCTTGCAAACCTAGCCCAGGTCATTGGCTAGGTGCCACATCTGCTAAGCTAGGAAAGTGGGAAAAAAGGTCACAAGTACAATGGGCAAAATTTTCACAAATGACACCAAGCACAGCTGACCTAATATTTGTTAAAAGAGCAAACAATAAAAGTTAGGATTCACCTAATAGAGGTGAAGATGTGCTCTATTTTAATGATTAGAGTTCAAACCAAATCAAGCAATTGATTACAGATCAGTGATCCAGGCTAAACAAGACTTATTAAATAAAACCTACATAACAGAGTTATAAAATCAGGCATACAGGATAAAAAAAATGTGCAGCCATGCTTGCCGTATTTTGCTATCAGCAATATTCAAGCTGCAAAAACAACATTTGCAATGGCAAGAGTCACCTTGTGGTCTTTATGTGCTAATAAAAATTGAACTAAAAATGAAAGTGAGGTTAGAAGAGGCTTTAATAGCTCTTTACATACAATATATTTTGATAGAGGTTACGGTGCTGCAGAACGTGAGTTCACTTTTCAATGTTACTACAGGTAATCTTGACTTACAAACACAATTGTGACCAGAATTTCATTTGCTAAGCAAGGTGATTGTTAAGTGATTTGTGCCCAATTTTACAACCTTATTTGCCAGAGTTAAGCAAATCACTGCAGCTGTTAAGTCAGGGTCTTCAAACTTGGCCCTTTTATGACTTGTGGACTTCAACTCCCAGAATTCCTCAGCCGGGCGTCCTCAGCCACAAGTCATAAAAGGGCCAAGTCTGAAGACCCCTGTGTTAAGTGAATCATATAGTGGTTAAGCAAATCTGGCTTCCACCAATGACTTTGTTGACTGGCAAAGTTCCAAATGATCACATGACCCTGGGATGCTGCAACCACTGTAAATATGTGCTGGTTGCCAAGTGACCACATTTTGATCACGTGACCATGGGGATGCTACGATGGTTTTAAGAGTGAGGACTGGCTGTTGGTCACATTTTTCAGTGCTTCCATAGCTTTGAACAGTTGCTAAACAAATGATTGTAAGTTGAGGACTAGTTGCAACATTACAAGAACAGAGTCTTTCTGTCTATGGAATTTTATACAATTTTACAAAAGAAGGTGACTGTCAACATTTATTGTTTGTAAGTTGATCTAGACACCATGCTTTGAAGTATGCGTTACTATAGTCCAATTGCACCTTTGATGAGAGTTTATTTTATTCTGTTTGTAATTCTCTACCAAGGATTCTTTGTATTTCTCTCAATTTGGAGTTTCTAAGACATATTATTACCTGTGCTAGCCCTTGGGATTGGAAATGAATCTTTCACCAGCATTTAAACACACAGTGCAGTGAAAGTTAAGAATGAATACAGCAGGATTGATCGCTGGAGATGGTCAAAAAACTCAAAGTGGCATTTCATGTGGGCAGGGCTTTGATTAGGTAGTTGTGTCAGCTTGACTTTTTATGATCCTCTATAGCAGGGGTCTTCAAACCAGGCCCTTTTATGACTTGTGGACTTCAACTCCTGGCTGAGGAATTCTGGGAGTTGAAGTCCACAAGTCATAAAAGAGCCAGGTTTGAAGACTTCTGCTATATAGGATGATGTTTTAGCTATTCGTTTCACTACATATCCAGAGCATATCCAGAGTCTGGAGTGGTTTCATGTTATACATTCCTTTAATAGAAAATTATACATTATTTTTGTGTATGTTAAAAGAAGTGTCTGCATTTTGATTAATCTAACTGAATCTAAGAGTTTCATAGGGACCATTCAGGGACATCATTTAACACATTATCAGATATTTCTTTGCTATTATCAAATGATGCTGAAAGTAATATTTGGTTGTGTCTTTAATTTAAAAAAATTGGTTAGCAATCAGACAATAAAATGTAACATATTTGATCTCTTTCTTGGTTGTGGCATGGAGGCTATATTGAAACACCAGAATCAGTGCAGGGTAACAAAGGTGCAGTCTTAGGAAGATTCCTAATACTAACTCTTATGTGAAGACCCAGCTCTCTGGAAAAGACTCTAATGCTAGGAAAAAGAAAAGGAAAGAAATAAAGACCCGCAACAAGGTGGATGGACCCAGTTACAGTGGCAACGAATGCTCCATTGGAAGACCTGGAAGACAAGGTCAAAGAAAGACTGTCATGGAGGAAATCTATCAAAGTGGTAGCTTGGAGTTGAAAATAACTTGATGGTGCATAATCAATCATTTCTAGACAAAAGGAGGAGTCTGAGATTGCCCACAAGTAGAAAGCTATTTTAATTATGTTCACTTGTGGGTTTCATAGAAGTATCTATATGGCAACTATGCCAAACTATGAGGAGAAATTTGAACTAGAAAATCCACAAGAACCAGCTAATCCATTTGTTGGGATGATACCACAAGGATGTTATCTTCTTAACTGACTTACACTCATTGAGAATCTGTTAAAATTTGCAATGATAGGTTTATAATTTAAAGAGTCACCTTGTAGGGGAGATGGGCTGAATACATTTTAATAACTAAGTGACTAAATAAAAGTTTTTTTAATTGGAAGTATTTTTAGGTAGGAGAGACAAGCCAATATCTCAGAATAAATTTTGGCCTATGCTATGTTTTCTTTTACTGTAGTTCTAGGCCAGCCATAACAGCTGGAAGCCCAGCAAGGTAGGCACAGGGACTGTGCTCTCACAAATTTGCCAATACCTCACAAGAGTGGAAGAATTTACTGAGAATTGCTGGGGAATATTCTTCTGCCTGCCTTTGCCAAGCCAATGATCTTCAGTTGTAGATGGGCTATAAATCTCTCATAGTGGAATAATGAGTCCACAATCAAAGCCATGTGGAGGATGCTAGGTGGAAAGGTTACAGGGTTTTCTTTGAAGCCATGCTTTTATTTAAAGGATTTTAGTGAGATGGGCTTCCATATAAATTCTCTGGCTCAAGTTAGCAGTGGAATGAGCAACACTGTCCTTTCAAAGTACGGGATTATTAGCTGGTATCACCTTGT